TTAACTCTAATCCATTTACACCCTTACTGTTTGGTTAGGACTGGTAACAGCAGACATACGTGTACACATATTTTTGTATGTACATACATAAAAAACGAACTCTGGATACGTTTTTTTTTTTGCTTTGTAGCAGCCAAAGTCTAGTTAAAAGGATTAAAGTACTTACAAAGAGATTACAAGCAACTTTCCAACACCAAGTGAATAAATACCATACACGCATGTAGAGAGAGAGGAGATGCAATCCATACATGCATATGTACATACATATATACCAATTGTATAACGAAAGACCATACCGCAGTGCGTGTTGCGAACTTTTTCGACGCGAATAAATCCAAAAAGAAAAAAAAACGTGGAAAGCGTCAAGCCAAGCAGAACCACCGGTCAGTGTCATTGCCAGCAGGCATTATACTGATATAACTGTACATTAGATTGGTCCACCAAATTTTTTTTTTTCTCGAAAGGGTTCGGTGCACCTTGCAAACTTTTTTCTCTTGCCGAAAGAGGTGCTGGCACCAAACTTTACGTTCCTGAGTACAAATTTAGAGGATGCTCATGAAATTTTTATTTTTTTCCATATAAACATAATTTCGTTGTGAAAGAATATGCGCAGACCTTTTGCGAAAAAAATAAAAAAGTCAACGCCACTTTTCATAAATTTCGCTTTTTATATGAAAAAAAAAAACGAAAAAGCCGTCAGCAAAAAAATTATTAAAAATTTTACTAAAATTTTATAATCCTGTTAAATGCATACCCAAAAAATTGAAAAAATTCTGGTTAAAAAGCTCGAAATTTAGATAAAAATTTGTGAAATTTTTTTAAATTCTGTAAACAGTTTGAAAGTGTGACATATATGGTTTTTGTTAAAGCGTGAACCATATTCTTATAAAGGAATATCGAAAAAATTTTAGCTCGAAAAACACTGTAAATATTAAAAACGAAACACCATTCATGCATTTTTGACCGCCACTGTATAAACATATTTTAATCAAACAATTGGTTAAGCAACCCAAGGCCATTTCATAATTAGATTAGTTGAAAAAATATTACCAGCTTTAGTTGCAATTGCAACATTCGAGTTTTATAAAAATCATTAATATTTTTGTCAGTTTCAAAGGGATTCAGTTGCGCATTTCCAGGACATTCAACACCCTATTGGATACAGTAGAAAACTGAAAATTAGTATAGAAATTACAAATACCAAAAGGAAAAAACCAAGGGGGTGGCACGTTTTCTACGAAGACATTTGCTTACCGCATACAATGCTTCGACCACTCTACCATCGGAATTAAAAATTTTTTGATATTTTAAGACTTCCGCCAAAATATTTCGGAAAAATGTCAAGATTAATCTCATTTTTATAAAGAAAATTAGTTCTCAAAAATATGTATTTAACTATTTTTTAAATCACTTCATATGATGTAAGAGTTTAAGCTTTGCATGAATGCATTAAAATTTTGGAAAAGGTGATCAACGAAAACAAAATAATCGGTCTAGCTCACGTTAATCTTAACTTTTTTCCGAAATATTTTGGCGGATGTCTTAAAAATATTATAAATTTTATAATTCCGGTGAAGAACCGCACACAAGTGTTTTAGGCATTCCAACTGTACTTTAGTCGAGACTTGCATTGTCGAACTACGAGTAAATAAATAATTAGGACTTATCTTATTAAAAGACGGGCCAATGCCTCCAGTGCAGCTTGGCTGTCACTGCAGATACGTAACACCTACCTCCCCACAGGCATACAAAAATTTATATATCTAGTAAATATACTACAATTGTAGATATACTTGAATTTGTCTATTGGTGGCATATTTCAGCTGACAATAGTTATTGAAAGGCTTTTTCTTTCTGCTTACATATATATGTTTGTGACCTAACTATGCTTACAATTGAGTAATTGAAATATTCTGCTTCTCTCTAACGGGAAGGTAGTCGGAACTTCCGACTCGGAAGCCTTATTATGATAGTTAACTAAATAAACAGTAGTTATGTTGCTAATTGTGTTACTGTAGATAATCACATTAATGGATAACATTACTATAAGGAGATAAAAGCTACTAGAGTACTGAACGGTTGGAAGCTCTCGAAACCGTGAAAGCGAAGTCAAAGTGGAAAGCGTACTTGATATTACTTACTTATATTAGAAGTGCGAAAGTTTGCATGTTTGGATGTTTGGAAGATTGTTACTCAATCACGCAAAACGGCAAAGCATATTGGAATAAGAGTTGACACCTGGATAGCTAATTGCTTAGATTAACCTATATAATACTTTTGTCAGTGACGGGACCGGGGGCTGATCTGTTCGAGTTTTATTTATATATACTTGTGGTCATATAGATATACTTGTCGTATAGATATAATGAACTTTTACGAAAAAAAGATTCGCTAGATGGCGCTAGAATCGAGTTTTTAAAAAATCCGTACTTATGCTTCGAATCTGTATTTATGATCCGATTTTGATGTAATTAAAAACGTGTACTGGGCTTGCGACGCCAAATACTTTTATGAAAATTGAATTCGCTCGGTGGCGCTAGAGTCGAGGTATTCATAAAATCTGCCCGATTATGATGATAATATAAACGTGTACTGCACTGTGTACAAAGGTGTGATTAGCAGTCAAACTGGCCACTTTGAGTGGATCTTTGTCAGCATGTATTTATGTATATTAGGGTGGCTCGGCAAAAAAAAAATTGTTGGTTTTCCACCAGCGTTATAGAATTTATTATAATTAAAGATCTCCGCCAAAATATTCCGGAAAAATATTTATAATACGTGAACTAGACCGATTCCAAATAACCTTCAAAAATCGCATTATTTTAATTCCGTTGATAACATTTTTATGCAGACCTTTAAAGATTAAACTATTTTATCATTTGATGTGATTTATTGGAAAAAAAATATTTTAGAAAGCTCAAGCTCAATAAAAATTGTTGAACAAAATTAATTTGATTAAAAATAAAATCGATTTTTTCAGATATTTACAATTTTTTCTAACTCCCGTAAATTTTACTCTTTTTACAGTACCGACTTTTTTTTGTACGTAGAGTGATCCACCCTAATATATATAAAGACATGTATAAATGTACTTTTGTACTTATTAAATGCCATACATGAGCTCAATGTTTTGTTGACTTAAGTGAATTGGTTAAAGTTTTTCACGCATCGTTGAACTTTCTCGAAGTTGCTGGCGCTTTAGAAGAATATTGGTGGGTAAATATACATACGTGTATGTGTGCGTACCCTTTGGAATAGGAAAAGTGTCGAAAAAATAGTACCCAATCGAAATATTAAGAAAACGGTTGGTTTCTATAATAAATTAACAGTACTTTGTTTTGCTTTGGATTAAACGTTTGATGCAAAAAATAGGAAGAAAAAATTAGCTGATAAAATTGTGAAAAAAGATGTGAAAAAGTATAATTAAAAGAAGTTACAGGTTATGAAATCATCGGAATATCTTTTTATTCATGTTACCGGATAACTTTGGACAACGTAAACCGTTTTCGATAATTATTTTTTTTTAACAGAAAGTTGGTATCTCAAAGATGGTTGCATACTAATTTGGTATAGTTCCGACCTTTTCATCATGAAGAATCGGTTGTGTTTTTGGTTAAACATTATTTGTTTCGTTATTTTTCAAGCCATTGCGTTATTCTTTTAACGCCGATCACACTGGACTTTCTTGAATCTTTTAGGATTTTTTTCGGTATTTTTCGGATTGTTTTACATTTTTCTAGCACCGTTCCGTAATTTATTTTGCATTTTTGGCATCTTTTCCTGGTTCTTTGGACCATCCGGGATTTTTTATGCCATTCACTCGATTTAAGGGCTTTTGAGATTTTTTGAAATGTTTTCGAAACCGTATGGCATCTTTTCAGATTTCTTCGAGACCGTTCAGGATTTCTTGGACCATTCTGAAATTTAAGAGTTTCTGGCATTCTTTCGATTTGTTTTTAATTTTTTAAGGAACACTTATTAATTTCCAGGTTTTTTCCCGGATATTTTTGAGCATTTCAGAATTTTTTTCGAGACTCATCGCAGGTTTTTGAGCTTTCAGAGCTTTTGGGTATTTTTAATAAAATTTTCAAGAATAATAGGCCAAGTTTTATTTGTTAAGAAAGTGAATAATTCTCCTGGAAATTTTTAGCCATTATTTTTGGTACTTTTTTGGGCCCTCTTGGAGTTACATATGCCTTTGGTCTTTTATCGGCATTTTTTGGGTGAGACGATTCAAGAGCTGTAAGAGCTTATGGTTTCTTTGTTAAAAACTGCAAAGCTTTTTGTGACCAGTCGCGAATTTTTGAGGATTTCTAAGGTTTTTGTTTGCTTTTTGGAACATTTGGGTTTTTTGGCACCGTTCCAAGTTGTTTGAGATTTTGGGATTAGGTTCGGAATCAAAAATTTTCGGAAGATTTCAGTATTTTTCGAAACAACCTGACTCAAGAATAATCGTCTGAAAGAAACTACTAGTTTTGCGGCTTTTTCTAATATAAAAATGTTTCTTAGTGTTTTTTTTTATGCTTTTCTGGGGCATTTGGAGTTTTTTCAATGGTTTTGAGGACTTTACGGGTCTTTCGGAATTTTTAGCGAATTTTTTTTTACTCTTCGAAAGAGAGAATTTTAGGGAAACTTGTAGGACATATTCAAGGTTTTTTTTTATTTTTATGAGACCGTTCGCTGTTTTCTTAGAGGTTATAGGAATTGTTTCTAGACCGTTCGGAATATCATTTACAAATTTTTACAATTTTTCTAAACGCTTCATGATTTTCTTTTTTTTAATTTTTGAGCTAAGTACGGCAGAAAACTTAAAAAACGCTTTTGTATGAAAATTGGTCGAAACATTCAAAAAAAAAAAGCCTGTAAGTTCCTTAAGTCAAATTATTCTTTTAAAACAAAATACCACAATCAGTCCTCACTAAACCAGATATGTATGTACATACATAGAATAATAAATTATCTTTTATTCAACGAAATTTTCCCATTTCATCTCATTACAGTGACCCCATTTGGGAATTATCTAAAAAACAACAAACAACCGTCCTCAGCGCATGCGACCACTACGAATGCCAGTAAATTGATACCGACAATTGTGACGTCGCAACAAAGTCCGCAACACCACCAACAAAAACAACAAAAGTTACACAAACAAATGACAGCGAAACGTAAAAATTCAAATTCAAATGAGATCAACAACACCAGCAGCGCGAACACTGCGGCGACAGAAGCGCCACCTGCCAATGCGATGACAACGACGTCAGTACCAGCGATCGCGACTGCGACTGCGACAGCAACGGTTGTGACGTCAGCGACACCAAATAGCGGCACGATCGCTGCCAATAATGGCCCCTCACCACCACCACCACCACCTCCGGCAGCAGCAACAAAAGCAACGAGGCGAGATGCACAAAAAAGCAGCAGCAGCAACAACGGCGAGGATGAGACTGATGTGATCGGCGATCTAGTGGGGCATTTCGGCAAGTGGCAATGCCTGATGACAATGTTGTTGTCATTGTTTCAGGTGCCCAATACATTTCACATAGCGTCGCCAATCTATCAGGTGAGTCATGGCGCGGAAGTCAAAGCAATGCACATCATTGGTGTGGTGGGTTACTCATACGCCCCGGTGAGCGGCGAGAGTTGTGGGGCATTGAAACTGTATACAAATTAAATTGTGTTTCCGCTAAAACGTTTATTTATTTTCTTGCGTTTTTTTTTGGTTTTTTTCTTCAGGCGATCAACAAAAATTTCTGGTGCAGTCGACCGCCGCATTTGCAAGATTTGCCTGTGGATGTGTGGCGGAATCTGAGTAATTCGCAAGACAATTGTTTCCAGGCGAACATTGACTGGAGCAAAGTGCACAACGATAGTATACGGTTGCAGGTAAGTAAGCAAATACACATGGGTACATTAGGGTGCCTCACTAAAAATTTTTGCGATTTTTCTAACAAAGTTATAAAGTTTATTATATTCTAATGGTCTTGTTCATAAAAAATAAAGTAGGTTTATAAATTGACTTTGTTATAAATTTTGTAATTTCATAAACCTTTTTTTAAACTACTTTACTTTTTATGAATATGGCCATAAGACTTCAGCGAAAATATTTCGTAAAAATCTTAAGAATGACGTGTGAAGGGAAAATACTTCCAAAAACCTCATTATTTTGATTCCCTTGAGACATTTTTTTTTAATTTTTAGGCAGACCTTCTATTTAATGTTAGACTCTTCTATCATCTAAGGTGATTTTTTGAAAAAATATGTATTTTTTTAAATAAATTTTATTTATAAAAAGTTGATTTTTGGAGGTATTTTCAAGTCGGTCCAGCTTGCGGAAATCTCAATATTTTTACACAAGTCTTATGATATAATTCATTTTATGATTCCCATGGAAAAACAGTATCGAATACTTTTTTTTTATGAATTATGGTGCACTCTAATGTACATACATACCTCCATACAAGTGGCTAATCTTTAAAACAAGCAGCACTGGAGAATATGCACAAGAACAACAATCCCAACTAAATACTTCGCATTCACTAAGAATCTGCTGAATAGAATCACAGCAGCCACTGCTTGTCTTAACGCAGATATGTATGTGCATGCTTGTGTGTGTTTATTCTTCAGTTGCATTCTTGCTGCTGTGCACTCGAGTGGGAAATTCCAACTAATTCGCAATTTCATGTCTGCTCTCTTCTTTATCCTCCTATCACTTACGCTCGTTGCCGTTATTACCCCAACTGTGTGCAACGATGCGTGGCCGTATTACTTCGCAAACACACAAAATACACACACCTCCCTCCATCATCAGCCAGCCTTACAACAATCGAGCCAACAGCAACAGCAGTCACATGGCGTACATGGCAGCTTGCCACACGACCCCTCGGCGGCGGTGTCTACTTTTCAACACAATCTTATCTCACCGCTGGCCGTCGTCCAAAATGCCACACGCATCGCCTGCTCGGCTTGGGAATATGACAGCGATGATAATTTGGGCAACACATGGATTTCGCAGTGGGATTTGGTGTGCGACAAGGAGTACTTTAAGAATGTGGCGGAGATGTTCTTTCTATTGGGTGCGGCAACAGGTGGCATTTTGTCGGGTTATTTGTCGGATAAATTTGGCCGCAAAAAAATGCTTTTCATATCTGCAACGCTGCAGACGATATTTGGTAAGTTTTGGAATGCAGAAGTTTTGGGCAGAGGGAATATTGTTATTGCTGTTTGCTTAAACGTTTATTTGGTTTTGTAGGAAGCGAAGAGAATTAGTTTCAAAAGATGGTTTATAATAAAACCGTTGCAATTTTCCTTGTGCGCATCTCAAGTGAACACTGCTTAAAAGAAAAAAATATTTTTGATGAGGTTTGCCATCTGTTTGAAAAATTGTGTTTAATTGAATAAATAAAGTTTTCACATATCAAAACAGTAAAAACTAAAAAAAAAAATGAAATCAAATTAAATATTACAAATGAAAAATGTTTGAGATAGCTTTACTAAACAATCTTTTTGAAAGGTTGCCACCTTTCCAAGGGCCTTAAGAACACGGCCCGAATATAACCATGAAATATGAAAATTTTAATACTTAGATCATTGCAAAATCGTTGTTTCTTAGTTTTTTTTTTATCGGCCAAGAATAAACGTTCTGCTACGAACTTAATTTTTTCCAAACAAAAAAAAAAAGCTGTTTTGGATTTTTAGTTTTTTTAGATCATTTTTAACCATTTTAATGGAGAGTGCTTTTTTATTTTATTCTTTTATGACCAAAAAATTGTATCTGTAAATAATGGCTTTAATAGGATTGACATCACTAAATTCAAAAATAACGATCGAAAACTGGTTGAAAAAATAACCAATCCATAAATAACGATTTTTCTTAATCAAAAAAGTTATAAACCAAAATAAAAATGAAAATAAATTTATCGAGGAAATCAAAAATCATAAAATAACTGCAAAATTTGATCGGAAGATAGAAATCCAGTTTTGACGGCTAAATTGGGATTTTTATTATAAAGATCATAACCGTTACGGTTCCTACCCAAGAATGCCTTATCTTTCCTTTAGAGCAGGGATGGGCAGATTTTTGGCTTTTAAAGCCGTCAAAGAGCCAGCAAGTGCTAAGCAAGAGCTAAATAAGTTCTCAGGGTAGAAGGGGTGTACAAAATACATTAAATCATATATATTAGTAATGAGAGTCGAAGTACAAGAAATTTGAATATGCTCTTCTTCCCCCTTCGTGCTGGTTCTTGATGTTACTCCTCATCTACCACTTAAATGTGCCAAGCCGGCTCCTAAGTGCAAAAGGCCCTTGGGAGCCACTTTGCCCATACCTGCTTTAGAGTCTCTTGTGCTTTTCATAGCGCATAATTGTTACCAACAAGGACTGAGGGACCTTTTTTACGGCCTGATAATCGGTGTGTAAGTAGGCTCACATCCTTGACTGGCATTGCATTCTAAAGCATTCTATTCACAAATTTTCGGCATCCTTTGATACTTCTCGGAATTATGTCGGAGTTTTTTCCGGATTTTCGAGAACATTCGGTGTTTTTTCGGAAATATAAAAATTAGTTTTTCAAGTTTTTCTTTTTAGATTTATCTTTATTTAGTAGGTTTTCTCCTTAGTTCATCTATTTATTATAGCGAGCCCTAACCGCACATTATCCTGACTGCTATAAAGTTAATTCTGCCCAAAAAGGTTATTTAACTCACTTTCGTAAATGTATACTCTCAGTGAAATCATTATTTCGTTATGACCTTCTATGTATTTCTAATGCCACTGAATATCCTTGCTCTGTTGCGGCTTTTCTTTATTTGCTTGCAATTAAATTTCAACCTTTTCGCATTTAAAATTGACTTTGACATTTACCACAACGTCAACGTAAATAATGTTAAAGCAACAATGAAAAAAACAAGAACAAACGAATATGCAACAACCACATCTACATACATATGTATCTACAAACTCACTTTGATTCAAGCAACTCAGCAATGTCTGATGACTACTGTTACCTTTGATGGGAAATGACTATGAACTTGACAATCAAAAGCAGCTACAACTACATACAAACATACCATGGCAGTCGGAGAAACTATTATTTAGTACAAGTTAGCATGCATATATGTATATATGTAGGTACATATAAAGGCCACAAGTGTACACGGAAAGAACGCATTCATCCTTGATCGATTGTCGATTGAATTTGCAGCATTGCTGGTCCAGTGCTTAGACACCACTTACAAAAGACATTCGAAATTATCCTTTCAATGACTGCAAGTGGTTGCTGTTTTATGTACTCGGTTAGGTTCTGACATATGTATGTACCCATGCAAACAAGTGAGTACAATAGTACTCGTATGCCATAGAGGATATTCACAAATATTAGCTGATGCATTCATACAACAACGGAATTCCTCGAGATGGTAAGGTCAGTGAAGACCGACCTCCACACATTTTTAAAGCTTGTAAAGAAGCCATCCACTCAGAGATTGTTTAAGGTAAGGACCTCGTCCTGGCGTAGGCAATAGCTTGCGGTTGAAAACAGTTTAATAAGGCAGACCACGTCGAAATTATCGAGTGGCGTAAATTCCTGAACATCCAATACGATCTGACCCAAGGTTACTTAAACCTGCTGACTAAATGGGAGGCTAACAGCAGGCACGCCTTAAATCTGTACAAAGTCTTGACCCCTCTCTAAATAGCGTCCAGATATTCAATAATTAGACTTTTATATGTATTAGGGCGATCCATAACAACTAACCCAACGAATTTATGGCATTTAAAGGACCCATTTACTGAAAAGAAAGTTCTCCCATTTAAAGAAAATTTCCAAATTTAAAAAGGCATTTGGAATTTTCTATGTAATAAACATGAACAATTTATTTTATAACTATTGGAGCGGATAGGCATCCCACAACGTCACTTTGGTTCAATTTAGCACAGGTGGCCCCTTGTCAGCTCAGTGAAAGATGGACAAACACTTTGTAATACGCAATTTATGGTCCTTACGACCATGGATGGCTCGGAGATAGTCAAATGACGTCGCTTTGCTTACGAAACCATAGCTATCGTGTTTGGTGTGTCGCTATCCGAACGAAATTCACGCGAAACTGCCTACTTGTAGGATGATAATGTGGAATACCCTAAACACTTTCTCTTCTCTACATAATACGTAATACGTAAATTATATACTATTTTTAATTTCTTTCTCTCTCTTTCTCTTTCTCGCCTTCTCACAGGTTTTGCACTCCTCTTCCCCGAATCGTTGGAAATATTTCTGCTGCTGCGCGCTCTGCTTGGTGTTGTCTCCGTGTCGGTGACCTATGCTGGCCTAATATTGGCCATAGAATATGTGGATGGCAAATGGCGTACCATAGCTGGCATGTACAATTTATTTCCACTGCCAATTTCCTACATGGTGATCGCAGGCATTGCCTACCTGACGCAGGATCATCAGCGGCTGCAGCTTTGCATCGGCATACCAGGCATATTCCTGTGTTTTCTATGGTGAGTTGAGATGCTAAACCTAATCTGAAAATGTACTTATTTAAGCGCAAAATTGTTTTTATTGCTTTGATTTTTTAAATAAATTCGCTACCAGAAAAATTGGACAATAAAACGTTAATGAGAGCAAAATTGAAAATTCAACAAATCTACTCATCAAAAAAATATTTGAAAATCCTCTACCGATTTCGCTTTCATTTGTGCTTAGACACTAATGCCTCTTGTTTATTTTTTTTTTATTTCGATTTTCGATTTTTGGTTCCGCGTGTGGGCGTCAATTAGACTAAATGTTTTAAATTTTGATCGTTAAACAATTCGGACATGTGCCAGCTGAGCAAACAGACAGACAGTGAAAATAAATAACAAAATACATACTCGTACAAGTTTCGAGGTATTGGCTTAATTAAAAAAAAAAAAAAAAGATTTTTTTTTATGATCACGCATTTTCGGTAAATCTCATTGAGGTGCTAATTTGTGCTTTAAAATTTTATGGATATTCTTCTTGCTTTGCATGTGATGTCTTGAATTTATGGCATCATTAAAATAATCAACGAGAACAAGCAATTTTTAAGCATGGGCAATTAATTTACCATTTTTCAGTTAATATGTACGTCAAAAGATAATATTGAATTAAATTTAAAAAAATTAAGAAAAGTCAAATGTATAAGATAAAGAAACATAAATGTAAACAATAAACTAGCAAACGTTATTAAAAAATAAAAAAATTACAAATTAAAGGCCAACAATCAAAAATATAAACTTATCAAATTTAATTAAGTAAAGTTTAAACAAATAATACAAAATTTTCTTATATTAAAAAATTAAGTAATATAAAATTAGAAACAATAAATTTATATAAACAAAATAAAAACAAAAATTAAAAAATAAAAAATAAATTAAACCCTACACAGTAAAGATAAACTAAAAAATATTAAATTGCAAAAATGTATTAAAAATATAAACTAAAAGGTAAGTAAACTAAAATAAACCATAAAACAAAAGTATTATTATTAAGCTTATCTCATTTAACAACTTTTATTATATTAAAAAATGGAGAGAAATAAAACAAAAGACCTAAAACTAAATTAAAAAATTTAAAATGAACAAAAATAAAAAAAAACAAAGCAAAAAGAAATTTACAAATATAAAATATATAGCAAATATTAAATAAAAAAAATTAAGTGAAACAAAAAGTAATGATTAAAAAAACCAAAAAAAAAAAAAATTAAAAACCAAAATTCAAAAATAAAAAAAACTAATTCAAAACATGCAAATATGATCGAAAAAAATAAGACGTAAAATAAAACCAATAATTAAATAATATGGTTTTAATAAAAAAACGTTTATTAAGTTAAAATAAAATATTAAACTAAATAAAAACCAATAAAATCAAATAAACAGAATAAAAAACTAAAAAATTAATAAAATATAACGAAATATAATCAAAATAAAAATAAATTTAAAATATGTTCACAAACAAATAAATTACACACACATATAAATAAATACAAATCAAATAGAATTATAAACTAAAATAGAAGTTTAATTGAATTTACTTACTTTAAAAAACGGTTATTAAGTTAAAAATAAAGTGAAATGAAATAAAATACATTAAAATCAAATAAACAAAATAGAAAAAATCAAAAATAAAATATTTAAGAAAAATAAATCTAATTGAATTACTTAAAAAAAAATAATAAAATTTACATTAAATAAAAAATAAAGGAAAATGGTAAATTTAAAAATAACGCAAAATAAATAAAATTAAATTAAATTTGATTTAATTAGGAAACTGCATTAAATGAAAATATTAGCTGAACCACTTAAAAAAACATTTTATTGAAATAAAAAATAAAATTAACCAATATTAAAAAAAAAAAATGTGAAAAATCTACCATGCTACCGAATAAGACTTCTTAATAGCTTTAAAATATTTGACTTTCGTTAATAAATTTAAAAAAGCGATTTTTAGAAACATTCTCGGGATTTGTTTGGTTGCATTTCGAATATTTTTGAAGCTTTACGTGATCTTCAGTGTTTATTTTTTCTTCATCCATTGCTTTGGGGGATTTTCGAAACAAATTGAGTTTCGATCGGGACTTTTCAGAATTACGCTTTTACGGATGCCTAACGCTTTCTTCGGGATATTGAGTTCTTATGAAATTTTCACGAGATAGTTTTCGTAACTTTTCCGTATTCCTTGAGCGGCGCTTTTCGGTATTTTTCGGAATTTTTCGCCATATGCTTTGTGTTTTAATTTTTGCGGTTTCTTGGGCACTGTAGAGACTTGAACAATTTTTTTTTTCTTTTTTTCGAGACTTTATGAGCCGTCGAGAATTTGTTCAGGATTCTTTGCCTCTGCGGACATAAAAATTATAATTATTCAAAGAGAAATCCACGAGAACTAAAGTAATTTTTTCTACGTGAATTTCATTGAAAAACTCTGTAACTGTGCGCATTTAAAATATATTTTTTTTTCTAGTCTAATCTTGACTTTTAACTATTTCATTCCCAGGTTTGTCGTGCCCGAATCTCCACGCTGGCTGCTGGTCAAAGGACATATTGCCGAAGTAAAAGTTATTGTGCAGCGTGCAGCTAAATTTAACGGACGCCAGCTGCCACCCGACTTTGAGTCAATGTTGAAGCCGCCGTCACAGGAAGATTCCTCACAGAATTGCGTCAGCCTTTTCAATTCGCGTTACCTGAGTTGTGTGACAATTTGCTTTCTTTGCATTTGGTTCACCATGAATTTGGTGTACTATGGCCTGATATTAAATATGAGTTCATTTGGCGGAAATGTTTACTTGAATTCGGTAAGTACAAGTAAATAAATGACTATTTTCGTATAGGCAATAGCACCAATTTTACAAAATTTGAGGGAAATTTGAGCATTTTTCATTCAAAATTCGTGTCTTTTGTAACCTTTTATAGTTTAATGGTACAGTTTCTTTTCCATAACTGCTGAATAAGCTAAGCTAAGCTTCGCGGCAAACCACGTCGTATATGCAACATGAATGATGAACCTCAGAATAGATTTTCTTTTGCAGAAAATTTTATTTACAAATACGAACAATATTAAGAACTCAAAGACAAAGAAAATCTGGATGTAATAAATCCTTGCCGCATATCTAGAATATGTGTAGGTTTTTCCATACCTATTGGTTATTAAGCATACAACTAAGTTCTAGCAAGTTTTCAAGTATGAAGAAGCTCATTTACTTACCTCGGACTGACATACACTTACATATATATAATTGAACTCAAAAGTAATGGATGTGTCAACTGGAAAGTCCATTAAAATATTTGAAGTATGTATGTGTATTAGTTAGAAAGCAAATTTCATTTGTTGTGCTTTACTGTGATTTCCTCTTAAATCTAATTGAATATTCCAAACAGAAATTTATAAGTGCCATGGAGATAGAAGATAAATTGTACATGACGACATTTCACTATTCAAATAGTCAAATACTTATTTACATATCGATTGTTCACTGCAGCAACGACACACTACAAAACTCAAAAGAAAAACTCTTACTAATGAACAGTAGCAAATATCTTCAAGACCTCTAACATGTAATAGTTTAGTAAAGTACAGGCTGGTAACTGGCGAGAAGTCACACATCCGTGACAGTAGCTTCCGACACACTTCCGCTACTTTTAAAGATTTCGTTGAGATTTTAGAAACTTTGGTTTGCAGGAAAGGTGAATTTATATAAAGTGGTGTTACCAGAGCAGTTGATTTTTCGCCTCGATGGTTCTTAATATCAAAATTACCGACGGGTTCGCTGGCACCCAAAAGTACAGCTGAACCAAGACTAATTTATTATCCGATACACATTTTTTAGTCTTCAAGAAGAACACATAAATACTCGCATATACTAAGTATGTACAGACATTTTTATATGTACATATTATTTATTGTTTTGGAACTATGCCACAATTTTTTGCTATATTTTCTTGTCACCTGATTTTAAAAGCGTACGTTGACATACCATGAAACAAATTCATATCTGACAGGGCGACAACAAAGCGTTTGTAGTACAGTGAAACACCTATAGGTTCTTTATAATCTTACACCCAAATTCATAATAAATAAAGAAGACATTTTAAATAAGGTCAATAGAATACAACGAAAAATTAAAATTAAAAAAAAAAATGATGTTATGAATATAAATAGTCGTGTTTGCTAACGGAGCTTAAACTGTCAATATATTTCAAGGGTTTTCATGCTCAAAAATGTCTTTGTTATATCTATGAAACATTTTTGTATGAAAAATTTTGCAACAACGAATCGTTTCAGGGGACTCAGCAGAAGTATTACAATATTGAGTTTTCCGTTTTATCAACATTCGTTATATCGAGGTTTTACTGTATTTTTTTATATCTTAAAAAAACGTTTTTTATTGTTTTATTATTTAAATTTCTGAATTGCTGCTCAGATGCGATCAACAGACTTCTGAGTACCTTAGCAGCATCACGTACTCCTCCTCAAAAGAAAATCGAGCCCTAACCGCCAAAAAGATTTTATTTTGTGTTGCATTTAGATGCTTTTAGAGCATTTCTGCATAAAAAAATAAATAAAAATTTGAAAGAAATGTCGCTTACTTCTTTTAAGCGGTTAGGGCTCGAAATGCTATGAATTTATGTTAATATTTTCAGGCTATAACCTAAGTCAAAATTTCATTTATTTTACAACAAAATAATTTTATTGGCAGTCAAAATAAGATGAATTAATTTAATTAATGTAATAAATTCTTTTGATTGCAGACATTTAATCAAACAAATTAATAACAGACTTTTTACTTTCGTGTTCTCTTTTCCGCTTCTTATGCCATGTGTTAACTACCGACTGCACACACACACACACCATTAATCGCCGCCTTATACCACTACAAAAAAAAAAAAACAACTATTCATAAATGAATTTAATCAACCTACATCACTAACCACCCGGCATCAGGCTTTAGCTGGCCTAGTCGAAATTCCTGCCATTGCCATTGCCATGTACATTATCACCAAGGTTGGCAAAAAGTGGCTATTCAGCGCCACATTCTTCTGTACGAGCCTCGCTTGCTGTTGTGCAGCCATTACCGAGGGCAATGATGACCAACTCTGGCTGAAGATTACATTCCTCATGATTGGTGAGTGTGTGACATGCTTGAATTGAAATCACATAAATACACAAATACCCTGTAGTCAAATGAACTAGTTGTAAACTACCTTACAACTAGTACGAACCGCATGCCCAACTAGTCAGCCAACTATCTTTTTTCCATGCAATCAACTGGTATTTTTAACATGGGGTTGTCCTACGAGATGGCAATTGTCAGATTTCGGCTAGAAATATACCAGTATCATACTAGTTCAAAATATACAGAAAAATACTAGTCTAACTATGGACCAAAACCACTACTTTGGGAGTAAAAAATAAAATGAATTTATGAATATGCAATAAACAACTTTTAAGTACACTTTAATATATAACACATTTTTATTTAGCAGCCTTAGATTTGCCAATAATTAGTGTTAAATTTTTTGAGTATTAATTAAAAGAAAAAATAAATACATAGATATTTCAAACTTTCGAATATAAATTTAAATTCATTTTTCATTAAGTGTTGTTAAAAAAGGAAAAAGGTTTCAGGTACAATAAATACTATATTTTTATCTATTTTAATAATATGGATTATGCAAAAGAAAATATTTTAGTTAAAAATAAAATGAATTCTTTAGATAATTTTTGAGTGAACTAAAATAAAAATAAAAGTTTTCATTAATATAAATTAAATTCATTAACTTTGCACATTTCAGTCTATTATTTTTAAAAATAAAAAAAATAATAATAATTAATGTTTAAAATTTGAGATTTGGATAAGAATAAAATAAATAAGTAATTCAAGCTGTTACTAAATATTCTTAATTTTTGTCTATATTTTGGCTTGTTAATTGATAATAGAAATTTATCAAATAATTATATTAATAGTGTAATTAAAAAGTCAAGAATAATTGAAAATGAGCAATAATAACAAAATAATGATTTAATTAAAACTAATGAACACTAATGAACTAATTGACATTTTTTTTAAGTAATTAATTCTTAATCATTAAAATGGTGGTAATATCGGTATTTGATCATTAAACGGTTATCCAAAAAAACATGCCTTAATTAATAATCATTATGAGTATTAATCATTATTTAACCGGACTAGTATAACTGAATACGTATTCGATTTAATGGTTTACAATATACCCAAATAAAAGTTATAATATTTTGTGTACTTTATTGTATTAAACTGTCGAAGTTAAATAAAACAGGGCCTGAATAAATCATTTTGTACTTAGTACAAGTCAGGTCATTTTCGAACTAGTTCGGTTTCAGTCAGGGAATTCTAGTTGTAAACTAGTATTTTTCCTGACTAGTTTGGGATTTCACTGCAGGGTACATACATTTGTATGTATGTATGCGGCGCAAGTATTACAACTCAATCAAAATTTAATTGAATCGCATACAAACAATTTACACGTGTTTACACCTACACACACACACAGCGATATGCATCGCACAAATTCATGCTTCATTGACTTACAAGCTTTCACTGATGCTACTTTTCGTATCTTTGCGTTTGCAGGTAAATTCACCATCAGCGCCGGCAATACCATAATGCCCGTCTACACCGCCGAGCTCTATCCGACCGCCATACGTAATGTTGGTGTTGGTGCTTGCAATGTGGCCGCTGGTGCCGCATTAATACTAACGCCATATTTATCATTGTTGGTAAGTTGAACAGATACAAAATAAATTTCTATAATTCAAAATATGTATGTACGTATATACATTAGGGTGGCTCAATAATACATAGGAAAATCGATTTTTTTGATTTTTCCTGCTGCCACCTTCCCGAAACTGAAGAATATCAAAAATAAGGAGACACGTATTTTTTATTTATTTAAATCGGTTAATATTTACCCATGCCGCCGGGGCTTTGAAGTTTCCAATGTATTTTACATAGGGAAAATACATTTTTTCGTAGAATTGCTATAGAAACGTTAAAAGTAATTATTTTTTTTTATCGAATAAGACTACTTCCCTTCATAAGTCTTCAAAAACTATGTTGCTTATTTAACTTAAAAGGTTTACTAAGTCTGTTTCAATAACCGATAATCCCATCTGTTAGTATATACAAAAATTAGTTATTTTATCTTTTCATAACCACATCATGCACGAACAGCTCATTGGATGTGTTTATTTTTTGTTTTTTATTCCAGTCGATTATCTGTGGTAACAAATTTTTTCAAAATAGAGTTGCCAGATATTTGAAATTTTTAAATTATGTAAAGGCTCAATAAAATAATTAAGTTTCTTCACCAAAGCTAAAAGCGTTTGAAGAGATTAAAAGCATTTTTATTCGGGGTTGCCACTTTTCTAAAAACATACAAAAATTTAAGCTTACTTAATACCACAATATGGGTGTCAAATGGAAGGTTTATGCACTCCTAGTAAAGTTTTTGAAAATACTTACTTTAATTCACATATATTTTTGGATCGGGTTGCCATTTATCTATAATAAAAAACTTTTTGAGTTTGAGTTCAATTTGAAAACTGGAAATGAAAATTTGTTTGTATATTTATTTAAAGCAGCATCATAGTGTTATTTTTTGAAGACTTCTGAAGGGAAATAGCTTTTTTCGATCAAAAGGTAATTATTTTTAACGATTTTATAGCAAATTAACAAAAAAAAACGTATTTTATTCATGTAAAATACATGGGAAACTTGAAAGTCTCGGCGGCACGGGTAAATATGTATTAATCGATATAAAAAAAAAATACGTCTCTCCTTAGTTTTGATATTATTCAGATCTGGGGGATGACTGGAGGAACAAAATTTTGGGCCACCCTAATATACATATGTATTTATGTACTACGTATTCATGTATATTTGATTTTTGTTTCGCTAAAATAGTGTATGATTAATGCGGGTAAGCATGTTTGGGCAAATCCCTTGCCATGCTTCATTGGTCAAAAATGTTGTCGCATATTTTCGAAGCCATCACTTAATCTTTCAGCTTTTTGACATTTGTCACATAATTTACTGATGCATTGTTTGCTATTTTTACTTTTCAATTGTACAGCATAAAATTGAGATACATTTTATGATGACGCTGCTCACCGCATTTGCATTCTTTGGCGGTTTTGTTGTGCTGTTCCTACCCGAATCCGCATCTGCTCAAACGAAATCGGAACCGCGCGAGGAAAAGTAAGTAAAAAAAAAAAATTAAAAAAATTTTACTAAAACATAGAATATTTAACAAAGCAATGTCGGAAAAGGTTTACAGAACGAATGGATACTAAAGGGCAAACAGTAAACACCCATACGATGACAGTTGAGTTTGCACGAATGCCATTAATTTGACTAGAGCTCCAGCATCAGTTTTGCATTTCTTAATCCTCCCGAAATCATAGTTAGCCTTGTTATAGCTCCTCGCAATGATGTTTAGGCTTTCTTTGTTAACCACTCTCCAATCGTGGATAGGTATGCCTGGGTTAAACTCTAAGATCATCTCTTATATTTCCGCTGAGTCTGACGGTGGGACTGGTACCCTTTATCGGGATGCGTTGTCTCTTTATACATCTCTTGTTCCAGCTATGAAAGTGAGAAGGAAAAGGGTTTAGGCTGGCCTGGGTACGAGCTGAATCGAGCGAAAAACGTAGCGGCGGATGTGAATCCAATATTCTTTACTACCAGGTTCGCTGATTACAATGATAATTGAGACCCTTTCCAGTTTTAGGCATGTCTTGTTTTTAATCGCCGTCCACCTCACTAATATCCCACAGAATAGTATTGGCGTACCAATAGCCGCTATTATCCAATTTAAAAGGGAAAGGGTAGGAAAAATGTATCATTTGCTACTCACGGTGGGCAGGAAGCGAAGATAGGTTGCATAAAAATGTCGACAAAATCTGAAAGCAGGGTTGTATTTGTTGATATCTTATGGTTAAGAATCCGCTTAAATTGAAATCCTAGCTGCTCCTGTTTTAAAGATATCCACATTTTATATACTTCTGATAGGATATATTTGCAAAAGAGGAAGGCGTACTTCTCGATAATTAGAGCATATTTATACGAAAAGAAATCTCATACAAATCTGTTCCCCTTTTTTAACTCACTAAAACGGATCAAATCAATGTGAAACATTTTCATTTTTTCCTACCGAAAGAATAATTGATCGAGATTTATTG